AGATAACTAATGGTGGCTCCATCTATAGGATTTGTTGGACTCTGTAGTGGGTCCAGCCAGTGGAAGAAGTGGTAGGACACTGAACGAGGGAACAAAGTGAGATGGAGGTATTAATGCTCTGGGCTCCTTCCTGTGGGTTGGCATGCCTGCCATTCTGAAACAAAGTTCTCTGCCCCAATCAGGTGGCCTCTCCTACAAGTTTCTCTTTTTTGGTGGCAGAGCAGCTCATCACAGTGATACTAGCCCAGAGGACTTAATTGTCTCTGGTGTACTCTACCACGGAAAACAGTGCCCCTATTAAACTGCTCAAGTTATCCTAATTTAGGAGTCTCATTTTTCTCCTACTGTGTAGGATCTGACAGTTACAAATATTCAAAAAAGGCTTTCATTCAAGGACACTGTGACAACTACTCCTTTATATTTCAGAAAGAGCTACATCTTTGCTTTCCTAGCAAATTGCTTCATTAATCCACAGAGGAGAATCTTATTTTCCTAGGTTGGTCAACTTCTTCACTGATTCGTCATATTTCAAAGAAAGAAAGGACTTCCATTTGGACATTTTGCCTATTACTCCAAACTATAGTTTAAAATTTACAGTGGAAAATTATATGAACGTCACTTTTCAAATACAAATTACTGTTAGAATCAAAGATCAAAACTGGTCTTCTAATGTTCATTTGCTGTATGATCATTTGTATCTAAGTAAATGAAACTGACTTTTTTTCTAGATCTGTGATTTGCTTTGGTGTAGATTCTTAAAATTTGGATGTTTGGAAATGTTGGCAAAATGTTGTGAATTTACATGGTTTCAGAAGTTTGATCCCTGAAGACATTAGTGCCTTTGAGGAATACATAAAAATGGAGTATTAGAACATGTGCTGAATTTAAATGTTTGGTCCAATTAAAGGTGCTAATCACAGAATGTAATTTGTCTCAAGACAAAGACTTCAAGTGAGTGAGTTCCCCTGGAAACCACAACCTGACTCCTGCAATTTAAATCTCATATAATAAACTCATCAATCTATTTCTTTACTTCTCCTCAATGAGCCAGAGCAATAGAAAAAGATGGTCAGAAACCTCTCATCCTCATTGTCATCTCTACCAGTAAGTAACATGTCATTCATGTCATTGCCTCCCAAGTAGTCTTTCTGATCCATTTGAAATTCCCAAAACCTTACAAGGCAATTGGGGATTAATTAAAGTTGTTGTAGCATCTGAACTCCAGGTGAATCTTTGTAGAGCTGTACCTTGTGAACTTCCTCTAGAATCTCTATTGAGAATGATCTAATTATTCCATCTAGGTACCTGTCACTTTCTCCTTTATAATCTTCACAAACTCTGTGTTCACCTGTGCAAACCAGTCAATTAAAGATTTTCTCTAAAGACTTTAATCTTTTATCTCAGTTCTGCTAAGGCACACATTTTATTGTTTTATATTCAAGAATATAAATTTACATTTCTACTGATTTTGACTGTAAACTATTCATATTTTTGCCAAAATACTATTCATATTATTTGTAACACTGGAGGAGCTTTAAGCTCATGCATTTCTCTTTATTCTACTTCTTTGGAAAACTAGGAGTTTCCCATCAATCCAAATCTTATTATTCAAAGACCAACTACGGAGTCATTATTTGAAAAAAAATTCTAGACTGAGTCTTATTGAAAATTGACTTTGTCTCACTCCTAATTCATAACACTTGAGTGCTTGCAAATGATTCCTCAAATTACTGAGAAAATAAACATTTAACAAAATTATTATTTTACCTTCTAGTATAGTTGGGATAAGAAATAATCTAATTGGAGTATTTTAATATATTCTCTAACTCATGTTCTAGTGTTTACCCATTTCTATTACAAATTATCATTATACTATACCAGTTATGAAAGTATGATTTTGCCAAAATAAAATTATATAATTTTTAACATATAATTTTTAGTGCAACAACCTTATGATTTTTTTTGACCCTTTTGGTTTAGAATTTAATTATCTGAGAAATACACAAATAATTAGTAAGTATGATACACGTACATTTGAATTTTATATTCTCTTTGAGGAATGAGGCTGGATTTTATATCCCAATAGTGTATAAAATGCATTAGGCCTGGCATTTATGGGTTCAACAATCATTCATTCAGCTCACTCCTTTTTTTTTTTTTTTTTTTTTTTTTTGACAGGCAGAGTGGACAGTGAGAGAGACAGACAGAGAGAAAGGTCTTCCTTTTCTGGTTCACCCCCCAATGGCCGCTGCAGCCGGCATACCGCGCTGATCCAAAGCCAGGAGCCAGGTGCTTCTCCTGGTCTCCCATGCGGTTGCAGGGCCCAAGTACTTGGGCCATCCTCCACTGCTTTCCTGGGCCACAGCAGAGAGCTGGACTGGAAGAGGAGCAACCGAGACAGAACTGGCGCCCCAACCAGGACTAGAACCGGTGTGCCGGTTTTGCAGGTGGAGGATTAGCCCATTGAGCCCTGGCGCCAGCCTCAGCTTACTCCTTATGAAAAATACAATGTCTGGTATTATGAGGGACTTGAGGGTATAATAGACAAAGATTCTGAGCAACAGTAGGAGTCTTAAGGGACATGAGGACAATCACAATGTAAGACAGAAGAGAAAAAAAAAGTATTGCTAATGCAATTCAGAGCAGAAATAGATGATTTCCAAATAAAGGATTGGGAAAGGTTTTTTAGAACAGTTCGATTTTTGAGTTGGGCCTGGAAGGAAGGAAAGACTTCATCCACAGAAAACTGAATGGATATGAATGTAGAAAAGGAAGACAGCAGAAGTGCATAGAAAATGTTCTTTTACATGTAAATTACATGTAATTAAAATAAGATAAAATATTTCTACTAAAATATTATATATCAACATTATTTTTTTAATTTTTTTTTATTTTTGACAGGCAGAGTGGACAGTGAGAGAGAGAGACACAGAGAGAAAGGTCTTCCTTTTGCCGTTGGTTCACCCTCCAATGGCCGCCACGGCCGGACGCTGCGGCTGGAGCACCACGCTGATCTGAAGCCAGGAGCCAGGTATTTCTCCTGGTCTCCCATGGGGTGAGGACCCAAGGACTTGGGCCATCCTCCACTGCACTCCCTGGCCACAGCAGAGAGCTGGCCTGGAAGAGGGGCAACCGGGACAGAATCCGGCACCCCAACCGGGACTAGAACCCAGGGTGCCGGTGCCGCAGGTGGAGGATTAGCCAAGTGAGCCGTGGCGCCGGCCACACATAGTCCTTTATTTACAGAAAATTATTCCACAACTTATGGAGTCTAAATGTAGCTCTGCAGAATTACACCAAGGAATTATTTTCGTCTATTTTAGGTTTTTGTAGTGTATGATAATTACATTTTCTACCAAAAGCTTTTTGAAATTAGTTATAGAAACTTTATTATCACTATTTTTATGCACTAATACATAATGATGAACAATTTGTTGTAAAATATTTACATGTTCTAAATATGTTGCCAACTTGCATAAAGTATCTGCTATATAATGCAAGAATTTCCCACATCCTAAATAATTGAATCATATTCATTAGGGAATTGGGATAATTAAGATATAAGCTTTAATCTTATGATGGATTTTCTATTTAACCTACTACAAATTAACCAATTAATATTTAAGATAGTGATTTCCATAGTGATATGTTAAGTCATAATCTCTTGACATGTATCAGTACATACTCATTTTTCACCTACTTGCCTTCAGTATTCTTTCTAAACAGATTTCCACCTGACTCCTTTCATAACGCTGTCCCATAAGCAATGTAAAATCCAAACTTTTACGGTACATGAAGGTTTTATCTGTTCCATAATGACCTTAACAGCGTTTGCTTCTTTATTATCTCTCTTCCTCCAAATAGTACTCAATAAATGTTAAGAGACACTACTTAATTCTTCAATGCTAATAACATTGATCAGTAAATGATCAGTGCTATACTAATTATGAACAACCAATTCTATTGTTTTTTTTTTCATCTCCTGAAGAAGGAGAATCACTTAAATACCACACGGAACCCCTCTATTTTGCTAGGAAATTTGTAACTTATTTTTAAAGAAAAAAACTTATGTGCCTGAATTTACTAGGTATGTATATATTTTATATGAATTTTATTATATGCCAAAAAATGGAAATAACCCAAATGTCTTTCAACTGGTGAATGAAGGCAAAATGTGATATTCTGTACAGAGAAACATCGTACATGCAATAATAAAAAGTAATGAAATACTGATACTCAAAAAATGTCATATGCATTGTGTTAAAACATTTTAGATTCAAAATTCTATATATTGCATTGCTTCTACTTCTATGACATTCTACAATATCCAGAACTGCAGCATAAACTAAACAGACGAGGTCTCCAGAACCTGCGGTGGTGAAGAAACGTTTGTGGGTGATGAAAATGCTTATATCTCAGTTTTGGTGGTAGATACACAGTAGTTTGCATTTGCCAAATTCATACAGCTGTACCCAAAATGAGTAAATATGATTGCACAAAATAACATCTCACTAAATCTAATCTTAAAGAGATCTATTAAGAAAGGAAAGGAATCTCTGATTCTGTGAGCAGTTTTAAGAATTATCCTCTTTTAAGAGTATCAGTAATATTTCTGGATCTTTGTTTTATAAATGAAAATTACATCCTAGGGAAAAATGCCTTGAATAAATGCCTCGTTTTAATTTTTGTTCTAATTACAAGTTCACATTAAACATGCTTAAAATAACAGTTTTTACTTAAATACAAGCTTGTTTAATGGGTTGATTGATTATGATAATCATCCAGTCTCAAAACAAACTGCTATTTCATACTTTGCAATTGCAAGATTATTGCATTTTACCTCTCACAGTATACTAAGCAACTTAACAACTCAGAAAGCTAATGGAGAAAAAAAAGTCTGGGAAATCTCATATAAACTTCTGATAATTCAGATTAAAAAAGCAGAATAGTGGATTTAGAGATAATCCTGAAAAGGATGCTTTAGATATGAAAGACCTTACCTTTGTGTTTGGGTCCCATAGCTGTTATCATAAGCCTCATAGGTCTGGTCATCATATTCACCCCCATAACCGTCATCGTACCCCTGAGTCAGAAAATGGCAGAAAAACCTATTAGTAATCAATTTGATTTACTTTGATCCTATTTTGGTTCATAAGATTATACTTTAGTTATTATGTTTAGTTTGTGAGTGTCTATCACATTTTAATAGGATAATAATTCTCATATAGCCTTGAATAAGATAAGATTTCACGAATGTAATATTATTAATTAAACTCAGGATATAATTGAAACAGCAATACCTATTTAAGCTATATTTATAAGTTTGATCAAAACTAACAAATGATATTTAGTAGCTTCAAAATATTAAGGGAAAATAAGAATTATTTTGATAACCTAATATAATATACTTGTTACTATCTCACTGGAAGCTTTATCCTTTTCCTAATAATCATAATTAAGATAGGAACTAAAGTATATAAGATCCTTAAATCATGGCCAACATTCATTGAAAAAAAAAAAACAAAAGAGGAAAAATGAAGAAAGGAGTGAAATAAAGGCCTTTTATTTGGTTTCAAATATAAATCTCATAAATAAAATAACGTATTGTGGTGAGTTTGATTTCCTGAGTAAATTAAGCTTACAAATTGAATGCATATTTGTCATTGTAGAATGTGCAAGCAAGCTAGCAATTATTCACTTCAGTTATCAATCACTGTGTGAGTGATTTAGTTTTATTTCCCTTTGTGGCCATTGACTTTAAACCCTAGTCATCCATCTTGTAGGCTCTCTACTTCTGGAAAAACCTTTAGCTTCTTTGTCTCTGGATCTTTGCTGATGCATCTCTTTCTGGGGAATGCACTCCCCCCCCACTCTAACAATTCATAGCCTCATTTCAGTCAATAGACCTACAAATCTCTCTTTTCAGAAGTTTAAACCGAAAATGTGTAGATATAGAAGCTTTCACACTAATCTTAACTACAACTTTTGAGCCAATTTAATCTGCAAATATTTTTATGAACTTAAGTTTAAATAAGTCTATTCTTTTTCACCTATTTTATCCTTTAATCAAAGTTGTGACTTACATATGAGGTTTTCTGAGTCCAACTTCCATTATTTTTTTCACTCATGATTTCTATTTCATCATATTTTTGTTCTAAAGTGTATGGAATAGTTTCTCCATCTGATCTTTGAAACATTCTAATTTGATTATACTATTTATAAAATAAATAAATTAAGATATTTTAAAATAAAACTAAAGAGTTGGTGTCCAAAAAAAATTATTCCTGTGTTCTTCTCCAACCTCTAGTTCTCGTTGTCTTTTCATCTAATAATTTCACATATATTTTTTGTTGTTATTATTGCTTGACTTATGAATTTTCATCATTTTCTTTTGACTAGCCTTTCAAGTTGTTGAGATTTATTTCTACTATAGATTATTTTCCATATTTCTCCATGAATCTATCTTCCTAGTATAGTTTCATTAGAATATATATCAATATATCCATATTATGATTAATAATATATAATATATAATATTTATTTTTCACTAATGATCAAAATTAATAGCTTTATGTTTATTCTAATATACATTTTCGTTCTCCCAAAGCTATTAATTTCTCATTCATTTTATTATATTGGTTTATTATATTGGATTTCTATGTTTAGATTTACTTGTCTTTACTTATTCCAAAATCATATTAAATTAGCAGTATTTCCAAATATCAGTTAATGCATCTCTTCCTTTTGTGCAGCAAGGAAACTATTTCCTGTAAAATATATCATCATGCTGTGGTCCAGACTGATGGATTTCTAAGCATGAAGGCAGGGGGGTTTCCTAAGATCTCTTCCACACTGTTCAATTTCCTTTAACCAAATTTTATCTTTTCCTTGCTCCCATATTCTCATTCAGTAACCTCATGAAGAGCTATATTGGAAAGAAATATTTTGATTCTCTCTCTCCCTCTTGTTTAGCTTTACCTCTTCCACTTCTTGTTTCAGCTTTATTCTTTTTAGTGTGAATTTTTTTTCTGGCACAGAGTAAAGTGAGAAGAGACAAATGAAAAAAATGATCTACACCTCACCTAGATTCACCAATTGTAGACATTTAATCCCTGAATGCTTTATCTCTTGTGTAAAAGGACATTCTTTTACATAAATACAATATAAATAATACTATTTCAAAGTTCCAAATAATCTCATGATACTGTAATATTTTTCTGTAATTGCCCCAGGTATTTATGATTTTATAGGTAATTTTGTCTTTTATAACTATTTTTTAATTCCAGTCATGAGCCATGACTTGCATTTGTAGATTGTATCTTTTTAGTAACTGTAGATCTAGCATAGTTTTCCAGTCTTTGTTTCCCATAGTGATGATTTTTTTAATAGTTAAGACAAATTAACAATCTGAATTTGTCTGACTACTCTCATAATTAAATTCAGATTCAATACTTCTAAAGAATAATATATGTTTGTTGAATGTGTACATGGCTGGATACTTGTAAATTTTAGTTTCAAATATGGTTGTTTGAGCCTCAGAGTTTAGATTGACAATGATTTTGAATCAGAATTCCAAGAGCCTTGATCCAATGTTTTCGACCAATGTATCAAGGTTGAGAATTCCTGTTCCAAGATTTGGTTTGTTTGTTTCCTTGCTGGATCCTCTAGAACTTCAATCTCTGGTACTATGAAATTTCACAATGCAGTGCCTTTTTGTGTGTTCAGAAATTTCTCTGGATCATCAACAAACTCAATCCATAGGCTTATCAAGTCTACAAAATGCCTCTCCATTTTTCCTCACTTTCTAAACCTCTTAATAGTGAGATTATATTTTCTGGATAGGTATATTAATTCGATCTTTTTGTCCTATGTGATATGTCTTACTCTAAATGGGAGACTTCTATAAATTCATCTTCCAATATTTTACATTCAAGGAAATATTTTAACTTCAGCATTCTAGTTACAAACACATACACATACATGCATGCGCACATAGGAATTGCTGATGGAGAGGATGGTTCCGTGTTTTCAGGTATATTATAAGCATTAAATTCTCAGCTCAAGGCCTCTCCTAGTCTCTGGTGGAACAAGGATTAACCTCACTTGGGATTTTCCAGAACCGCTACAGTTAGGGCAGTCCAGCCCTACACCTTGGGGAATCTGCTCCTATCAGTAAAGAGGGGAAGAAGGATATTTGTTGTTGCATGTGCCTCAGAGGATGCAAACCTCAGTCCCAGCATCCAGGCTCTTGGTCCTCTGGCAAAATTGTAAAAATAAGCCTTCATCCACCTTCAGTTCTTATTTAGAACTCATGAGCTTCAACTTCCTATGCAGGAGGCAGGTAAGTTTTTTGTTTGTTTGTTTTTTTGTTTTTGTTTTTGACAGGCAGAGTGGATAGTGAGAGAGAGAGACAGAGAGAAAGGTCTTCCTTTTGCCGTTGGTTCACCCTCCAATGGCCGCCACGCACTGCGCTGATCCGAATCCAGGAGCCAGGTACTTATCCTGGTCTCCCATGGGGTGCAGGGCCCAAGCACTTGGGCCATCCTCCACTGCCTTACCGGGCCACAGCAGAGAGCTGGCCTGGAAGAGGGGCAACCGGGAAAGAATCGGGCACCCCGACCAGGACTAGAACCCGCTGTGCCGGCGCCACTAGGTGGAGGATTAGCCTATTGAGCCGTGGCGCCGGCCGCAGGTGAGTTTTAATATATACTATTTCATTTTTGTACTTGTGTCCCCCAGCAAGGTGCTAGAAGAGCCAAAGGTGGGAATAGACAAAGGTTTTCAGAGTTCAAAGTTCCTTAAATTCTCTGTGTCCCCCATTATCCACCTGTTAAAATTCTACTTTTGCGGCCAGCTAAGAGGGTAAAGCCACTGCCTGCAGTCCTGGCATCCCATATGGGCACCGGTTCAAGTCCTGGCTACTCCATTTCTGATCCAGCTCTCTGCTATGGCCTGGAAAAAGCAGAAGATGGCCCAAGTCCTTGGGTCCCTACATCTGCATGGGAGACCTGGAGGAAGCTCTTGGCTCCAGGCTTCAGATTGGCATAGCTTCAGCTGTTGCAGTCATCTGGGGAGTGAACCAGCAGATGTAAGACCTCTCTCTCTCTTTCTCTCTCTCTCTCTGCCTTTCAAGTAAATAAATATTTTTTTTAAATTGTCCTCATTACACAACATAATTTTACATGATATTATCTTCCTTTCCTTACCAAGCAAATGGCAACCCTTAGTCCTCTACATTTAAATAGCTTTTTGTTTCTCATCGGTACTAGAATATCTAAATATGTACTCTGTTTAGTTATTTTTAAAATGATTTTCTGTATAAGTTAAACTTTGAAAAGCAAAGATATTTAGCATAGTTATCACTTTTGTGATGCCTTGTGGTGCTTATTATTGTGTATCCTATAGAGTAATAATTTAATGCTTGTATTGAATTGGTAACAACACAGAGGAGTGACTATTCTTATTCTCTACAGATGTGAACTGACTAAAATCAGTCACCACTAAAACATTTTAAATGAAAAGTATCTAGTAGTATTGTTTCTGCTTCTAAAAAATAACTTTATCATTTGGTCTAGAGAGATTGTTACAATTTGCTTCTTCATTTATACTTATGTCTATTCTAATTTTCTTTAAAAGAATAACTTTTTTTCTATTAACCCACAATTTCATAAAGCATATAGTGCAATAGTTCCCCAAAATGATCATTACTCTAAAAAGAAGATAAATGTGGATATTCATACATAATATTTTTCTAATACCTGATATATTTTAAAAATCAACTTGATGTATTTAAAATATGTATATATGTAAATGTTTGAATATTCATAGTAGTACATAACAATAAACAACTCTTAGTCCACCATAACAAAACAAAAAGCATTGCAAAGTTTAGGATGCCAATATTTCATTCTAAGCATAAAAAACAAAGCCATCAGTTATCCATGAGTATAACTTGGTGCATAAATCAGATAGTTTGCTTAATACTGAGACTAATGGAGTTGTTGGATTTCTGAAGAAAGCATGAGTATTTGGGACGTAGGGCATGGAGAGATGATAGCACAATCCAAAAGGATTGGACTGTGA